CCTAGAGGACGCAGTGTCTCGTTCCCTACTCAAGGAACCATGGTTACATGCGTAACCTGAGACGTTTTCGTATTCAGCATGTCAAACTTCATAAAGAAACATAAAAATAAAAGCGAAACAAAACTTGTATAAAAATTTGTTTCATGGTGATATCAACATTTATATTATGAAGTATGTAAAATATGATTACCACAAAAGGCCTTAAATTTGTACTAGCATACCCACTTCTTTAAATAATTTCTATCCTATGTTCTTTATTGTTTCATTAATATTTGTAAATAAAATCATAATCCTTACCAGTTATTCATTTTGCCCTTCAAATGGAAAATAATTTATTCTTGCAGCTCTGTTAATGAAATCTGCATGGACTATTAACTGCTCTGAACCCACTACAGATGCTCTTTTAAGTGCCTTGAAGGACAGCATCTTTGATAAAAACAGATGTGAGGCCTGTTTTTTACCCGAAAACTCACACCAACATTAGTGTGAGCTTCACTCTGTATACCACCATGTATGTGGTGAACCTCCTGATTCCCAGCTGTTTCCTCATTGCCGTAGATCTGTTCAGTTTCCTTCTTCCAACCCAGAACGTGGATCGTTCTGCCTTCAAAATGACCCTCATTTTGGGTTACACTGTCTTCCTGCTGCTAATGAATGACCTGCTGCCCGTTACTGGAAACACATTACCTCTCATAAGTTTGTATTAGAAGTTTTGTTGTAGCCTTAGACTCTGTCCTAACCAGTCATGTGACAAGCTGCCAGTCTTGTAGATTTTGTGTCTTCAATGAAAGGAAAATGCTCCAAAGAAGTAACAGAATTTCTTGTCACTTTACTGCTGGTTATGACAGTGTTACAGCACCTTTCTCTCTCTTGTCAATTTTAAAATTTTGTCTGATTTGTAAGACACCTTACATCTCTTCTATATCTCTTTTCAGACGTGTTTTTCTCTCTTTGCTTGGCACTGATGGTGGCCAGTCTTCTCGGGACAATCCTCGTCACTAACATTCAGTGTGGCTCCACTCGCTATGGACCTTTACCTCGATGGGCCAAGGTGCTTTTCCTCAACCACCTTGCTAAGCTTGTTTGTTTAAGCAAGAAACCCAGTGACCAAAACTGTGACCCTGAAGGTGAGTCTTACCATGCAAAATCGAATAAGTCTGTCTAGTTTTGTTTATTAAATTAACCTAATAATAAACCTTATCCGGATAGATGTATGGATGATCCACTGGGACAACCCTTATCAAGAACAGAGAGTTTTACGTTCTTCCTAAGTACTCATTTGCAAATGTCATTTAAGAGTACTCTATTTATGTATAAAGACATAAATAGCTTAATTAGGTTGAGTAAAGACAGAATACATTTATTTCAACATCTTCTCTTGTACCTGTAGAGCACAGACCAGAGACCAAACACTGTGATCCTGCAGTTGAAACCCCTCCAAGCGAAGCGGCATATAAGACACCTGCTCTTCTGGAACTGAAGAAGATAAGCCACGAGTTACTATCCATCCATCAGCAGATTGATAAACATTTTAAAACTGATGAGAGCACAGAGGAGTGGATGCATTTGGGTCAAGTCATTGACCGCCTGGTTTTCTGCCTGTATACTATGTTCCTCTCAGTTTGTTTCATCACTGTTTTTGTATATTGGCTGTACTGGTACAACAAAACTGCATCTTTAATATAAAGAAATCTACTAAAAGTATACGAGTGCTGCGTACACTGATCAGCCACAACATTAAAACCAATGAAAGGTGAAGTGAATAATGGCACCTGTCAAGGGGTGGGATATATTAGGCAGCAAGTGATTGGTCAGTTCTTGAATTTCATGAGTTGGAAAAATGAGCGAACGAAAAGATCATTGTGAAAGATCATTGGCGTGACATTGAGAATTAGTGATGGTTAGATGACTGGGTCAAAGCATTTCCAAAACGGCAAGTCTTGTGGGGTGTTCAGAGCAAGTGGCGCAAGGAAGGACAACCGGTTAACCAGCGTCAGGGTCATGGATGCCCAAGGCTCACTGATGCATATGGGGAGCGAAGGCTAGCCCAATAAGGTTCGATCACACAGAAGAGCTACTGGAGCTTAAATTGCTAAAAAAAAACTAATGCTAGCCATGATAGAAAGGTGTCGGAACACACAGTGCATTACAGTTTGTTATGTATGGGGCTGCGTAGCCACTGGACTATGGAGCAATAGAAGAAGGTTGCCAGGTCTGATGAATCATGTTTTCTTTTAGATCAGATGGATGGCTGGGTGCGTGTGTGTTGTTTACCTTGAGAAGATCTGACAGCAGATGCACTATGGGAAAAAGGCAGATCAGCGGATGTAGTGTTGTGCTCTGGCCAGTGTTCTGCTGGGAAACCTTGGGTCCTGGCAGTCATGTAGATATTACTTTGACACGTGCCACCTACCTAAAGATTGTTGCAGACCATGCGCACCCCTTCATGTCAGTAGGATAATGCACCCTGCCACACTGCAGTTGTTCAAAAACGGTTTGATGAACAAGGGTCCAAGGTGTTGCCTTGCCCTCCAAATTCCCCAGATCTCAATCTAATTGAGCATCTATGGGTTGTGCTGGGCCAACAAAACTGATCCATGCAGGCCTCACCTCACATCTTGCAGGACTTAAAGGAACTGCTGCTGATGTCTTGGTGCCAGACACTACAGGACACTACAGGAGGTCTTGTGGGGTCAATAGGTCAACACATCAGCGCTGGTCTGGCAGCACGAGGGAGACCTTCATGATATTAGGCAGGTGTTTTAAAGTTGTAGCTGATCAGTGTTTATGATTACTAAACCTGTAAATACAAGTTGCAATTTATTAAATCAAATTGTCTAATAATGAAGATTTTATGCAAATGCTTTGTTCTGTACTTTCCTTTTGTTTGTTGTGTTGTCACAGGGTGAGTAGCAGTGGAAAATTAACTGGAAACCATGAAAGCATTGTAAAAAAATATTCTTTGTATGTGTTATATTATATATGATTATGCACTGTTAGATAACTGTACATTAATGGGTGTTTATATATAGATAAAGTTCATGATTTCATCTACAGTTCATAATTGTACTCACATCTTTTAGGTCTTTCGAGAAAGTACTGATTACAGATTCCAGCACTTAGCTGGGGAATGGTTGAATTATAACAAAAATAAACTCCTTCTTGCTGTTGTTTGGAAAGAGTGAAAAAGATGAATAAATAAATCAACAAATGTATGATTTCTGAACTGTGCCATTCATTTTCTAGGAACTGTGTTCAGGTGGGGTGGGGGGGTGCCTACCTTCTCTATATAATCCATTCTTCACATATTTACATTTATGATTCTAACTTCATAAAAACTTTATGATACTACTAAATACGATCACTCCCAAAATAGAATGTGACTTGCACTTCATATGGAGTGTCATCTGTGGTTTTGGGTCATTGAATTAACGCGTATGTAAGAATAAGAGTTGAACATTTGAGGAAACATTTGAAGTAGTAGTAGTATCTACATTTGGTCTAGTCTAAAAAGTTCATTATAGTTCTTGATTTAAATGTGGTGTGTCACATGTACCAGGGTGGCATACAATTACATTTAATAGGTAAATAAACAGATTAATTTACAAAACATAAATCATATAGATTATTTATCGTTTATAAATCATTAAGTCTCATTTCAGTTTTTAATAATCCTGAAGCAGCAAGAAATATTGTCACCGAAGAAGGTTGTGTAGAGAAAATCAGTTTTTCAGATCACAGGCTCTCAATCTGAGACACAGGAAACTTTTAATTTACATCCAGACTTGGATGTAAGTTGACTAAGTAAATTGCGTAGCCCTGGATTAGTTGAATATATAATTATTGATTAGTGCTAACTTTGAAAATTGTTTTTCTGCATTTTGGTTTTAGATATTCAGTTTCCAGTACAATCTCCATCCATTACATTTTCTCAAAAGAGACACGCGACAATACCTAAAATAGGAAAGATAATTTAAAAAAAAAAATGTATATTAAACAAGAACGAGTTCAAATTATGTGTAAAACACTGGTTGATGGTAGCTCAACCAGTCTCCAACAGCAGACTTTTTTTGTTGTATTGTCTTTTCTGCAGTTGTATTAAGCATTAAAAAATGTTTGAAGACACAAACGTGACATTTTTATGTGATTCAAACTTTAATAAATAGACTATTAATATACAATTGTGTGTATATTGGTTGTATGGTGTTTCATTTACCTGGAAACTGTGTAAACATCAAATGGAAATGTGACAGGGAAAAAAAGAGTGAGACTTTAACATTTTGTGTCACACACTACGTTATTAGTCTAACATCTGTTTGTCCAATCTGTTGTCACATTTTCAAAACTCTAAACACAATTAGCACAACATCCATTTGTTGTGACCACACCATTAACACAATTTTTTCACACAATATTCTGTCAATTAACAAGTTTCTAAAATGCTTACATTTTCTTTTTACACAAGCTTACCCCATACCAAAATCATAGATCTTTCTTATCTTTTCTACAAACGCTTAAACACAGCAAGACAGAAATGAAGATCTAATGTTCCAACCTTTAAATATAGTGTAAAGCCTCTACTTCTGCAACAACAGCCGCCTAAAAGAGCTGATAAGAATTATTTTAATTACTAATAATTGAGAAATAGCCAATTCCAATCTTAATGAATAATTTCAAGTATTTCCATTACATGGCCATGCACAATAATAAAGGCACTCTCTGGATTGGTTTTGTTCAAAACAATGCAGAACAACACAGAGAAGCAGAAAAAGAAAGAAAATGTCTGGACGTGGGAGAGTTGGACAAGGGAGAGGAGTAGTTGGACCAGGACTTTCTGGTTTGGTTGAGCTACCAGATCAGACATCAAGAAAAAATTTTGAATCAGGTTTGCTGTGTTTTGATAGAGTTAGTATATGCAGAAAAAGGTATTCAGCATTTTAAAATGTAGAGTTTGTATTCATTTAACAAAATGTGGTTTTGGCCAGGAAATTAACCATTTGGCTAATTGTGTGATGTAGGTGTGTTGCTGTGTTAAGAGTTTGGAAATAGTATTGGTAAACGCTTGTTAGCAATTGAAAAAAAACTGTAATGTCATATCTACACCACAGTTTTAGACGATGCCACGTTTCTAAGCCTCATGCATAGGTATGCAAAAGTATGCTTAACCACAGAGATCACAGTTACCGCCAACTTTTATTTTGATACACACTTTTGCATTTTGGGCTTGTGTCTCCAATGTCTGATATTTCCAGAAGGTAAGGAAGTAAAATATTGAGTTTTTCAAAAACGTTCAGTGTTGCATGCCATCACTAGCTGGATGAATAATTCATTTGCCTAAGCAAATCGGTTATTTGTATTTAGGATACATTCACACCATTACCTGTCAAACTGAGAAATGATTCTGAAATGAAAATCTGTGGGGCCCAGTTAGTCA